GCTGCCAGCATCGCTGCCATCACCGCTCTGTGCCACTTCAGACGCCCTGATGTGGGCATCCAGGGAAATGAAGTGACATTGGTGAGTCAGCAACAAACACAGCTGGTGGTGTCTCTGCTTCACTGAGTCTGATGCTTCCAAACTGCTCGGTTATGTGAATATGTGATGTGAGGACACTAACAGAGGATGTAATGTAGGATCTTTGTTTCTTTGCTACAAACAGACCACTGGTTAATCATTGAAAACTGTCTCATGTCGGTGTCAACATGTCTTTTTATTGTCACAACAAAAGTGTTATAGTTATGTTGCACCACAGATATTGGGATACTCCGTGTTGGTTGTAATTTTGTGTTTATTCCTGTGCTCCCTCAGTACAGTCCAGAGGAGAGAGACCCTATTCCTCTCAGTATCTACCACATGCCCATCAGTGTCAGCTTCTCCTTCTTCCAACAAGGGTAAGGAGCCATATTTGAGTATAAATTAGAGTCCTTTTCTGTACAAAGTACCAGAATGTTTTTATTTGAGGGGTGCCCTGTTAATTCAGCTGCATGGTCGTTTTGGAGGATGCAGTTTGTGGTGCTGTTGAACTGCTGCATTATACAGAGAGATTGTGACAGTGGTTCAAAGCCCCCATATTTTTTACATATATGTATTAAATATATATATGCTCTGCAAATGATCATTTTACAACACTTATCTAAAACAGTTCCAACAAATGAAATCTGAGAAAAATCTCAAGTCTGTTTATTGCCAAGTAGGTTTTCACATATCAATAATTTTATATTATAGTGCATAATGGTCACAATAAACAGAGTAAGAAAAAGAGAAAAGAACACAAAAGTACAGCAAAAGTCAAGAATCATAAATATAAAAATAAAAATATAAATTTATATGATAAAATATGCATAATATTTGTTTCAAAATTAAATAAAGTTGAACAGTGTTTGTGTGCAATATGCAAAAATAATAACAACCTAGGAAATAAAACATTAGATATTTTATTATGTTTTATTAGACTGAATTTGTTTTAGCTACATGGACTGGAAACAAACTGGAAACTGTATACTAAATACTAAAAACCAATGAATAAAAAGTATGTAGACGACTAACTGAAGCTCTCCAGTCATTGGATGAACATTATCCATCCTCATACGAAGCTTTCTTCTTCTACACTTCATGTTCTTTCTGCAGAACCTATCTGCTGGTGGACCCCTGTGAGCGGGAGGAGCGGGTGATGGACGGCTTGCTGATGATCGCCATGAACAAACACAGAGAAATTTGCTCCATCCAGTCCAGTGGGGGCATCATGTTGCTAAAAGAGCAGGTGAATGGAGTCTAGATAATGTCGCACTTGTTTTTGCAGCTATCAAGATCAGTTATATTGAAAATGATGTCACATACGTCACAATCTTCCATATATGCAGGGAAAGCTGCTCGCCACAAAAACTTATTCACATGATAAAAATACCACCAATGTATTTCTTGTGTGTGTGCTGTTGAAGGTGATGAGATGCAGTAAAATAGCCAGCGTCAAAGTGTCTGAAATCACAGAACTCATCAGCAAAGCCCTGGAGAACGACAAGAAAGCAAGGTGAGCTGTAACGTCACATTACCACACTTCAGTATTAAACGGCGGAAGTGGAAATTAACCACAATTTCAACTTTTAGTTTTGTCATCAGAACATATGTACGAACTCTGTATTATCATTTTTTCAGGAAGGCGGGTGGTAGGTGTGGTTTTGCGGAGTCTATGCCTCAAGAGCGAATCACAGCACTGAAAATGGAAGAGACTCCAGTGGAGATGACAGATGTGACGGATAGAGCCAGTGAAATCATTCAGAAATCCGAGGCCCCGCCTCAGACGTATCCTTTACTGAGCCTGAATACCTACAAAATGTGTCTCTGTCCCTTTTCTGTCTTTCACTTTGACGTATTATATCCACTGTGGCTCCTTAACCACACCTCCCAGGGTGCCTTCCCCAGTGGTGCCCGTCCCGGGTGTGGGTCAGGTAGGGCAGGGGCTGCAGAGCTCCTGGGGGCTGGAAGAGGATGATGAAGAGGAGGAAGAAAATGACAACAGTGGTGAAGAACAGGAGGAAAAAGTAACAAAGATGGAAGAGGAACAACATGAAAAAGAGGAGAGCAGAGGAGGTTATTTAATGTTCTTAATATATATAATAATAATCAGCAAATGAGCAACAAAAACTTTGACAGAAGTGATGCAATAGGCATCACTGTTGGGTAACTTTAGGTAATAAATGATTATTCTCTGAGTGTGTTTTATTTTGAGTAAAAACATAAATTGGGAATTTCGTTCTATTTGCAGGAGATGTGGTTGAGATATCTGACAGTGAAGAGGAGGAGGTGGTCATACTTCAACCGGAGACGCCAGACAAAACTCCTAAGTAGGTGCACCAGTTGGCTCTTCTATGTGTAGTAGATTGTATTTAGCAACTGAGGAGGTATGCA